GAGGGGACCTTTGTGATGCTCTGCCTGTGGCCTCCTCTAAGAGGATGGTGTTAGATTGTCCACACCGAAGGGTGGCAGGAGAAAAAGGGAGAGGTTATTTCAGAGTCAGGAGGACAGAGGGACCAAGTAGCAGTGACCGCCGGCTGCGGGGCTTGGCAAGCCGCGGGCACGGCCAGGAGCCAGCCTCTGAACAGACCAGGAGAGGGCACGACGCATTGCTGAGGCCAAGCCAAACGGAGCGATTGGACGCGGGGAGTTGTTTGGGGCGTTCTGACTCTGTATTTTACTGTCTTTCCAGAAAATCAACCGGACCCCTTCGGATGAGGAATGCTTCTTTGACCTGCTGAGCAAGTTCCAGAGCAACCGGATGGATGATCAGCGCTGCCCGTTGGAAGAATGCCCATCGGAGGAAGCTGCAGAGGCAGCTGCCACACCGGTCCCTGCCCTGGAAGAACGGATATGTAAGCACCGATGCATTTATAAGTCGCTATTACTGTGGGAGTGATGCTGCTCCCATGGCGTGGCCGGCTGTTGTGGTTTTACTGTGAATCTTCTGATGTTTTCCCTAAGCCTCAGCTCTCTGAACTTAGTAGTTCTTTGGCAACCTCCATCATTATTTAAGGAAGAAAGAAACATTCTTATGTTAATGGTTGCTGAGGGAAAGGCTGGAGAACATGAACGAAGGCTTGGAGAGTAAACCAGCAAGAGAAATGCAAAACATACTTGGATTTTTTCAGTACAGATCTTTTGAAGGTCTGGCCTTCTGAACACAGTGAGGTTGGCACGAGGACTTCTGCCTCTGCCAGCATCTCCAGGAGGAAGATGCCGACGGTCATGACTGAGGGAACCTTGGAAGAGCCTGGAGGGCTGGGGCATGCACAGGGCTGGGCTGGGCTTTCGCAGGCAGGTTAAAAGTATTGCCAGTTTTTCTCATAGCGTTGCCATGGAGGAAAAACTTCTGGATTTTGTACAGTTCTTGGATGCTGTGGTGATAGGTGCTGTGTAAGAACAAAGAAGCCAGAAGGATGGATAAACAGTAGGAAGCTCCAGCAGGCAGACAGCTAGCTCATCCATAGGAAGAACAGGGATAAATTGAGGAAGCCGTCTGACAAATAGATGGGACAGGAAAGGCAGGTCAGGTCTGTGTTTGCACTTTGGTTTCGTGCCTTTTTTTATGATACGGTGTTGAGGTCCTTTGTTTAAACCAAGCTGGTGAGAAGCACTGAAATGCGCAGGTCACACTTGCACGCTTAAGCACCATCACAGAGGGCTCAAAACACTTCATTTGAACCGATTTATCGGTTTCCAAATGGACACGAAGTACAAACAGGAGAGGAGGAGACCCCTGACATCCCTCCAAGCGCGGCAAGAGCCGCGGTGCAAGACTGCTCGGAGAAGTAGGTGCCAGGAGCAGGGGCTGAAGCGGCAGCAGCGAGAGCAGAGCAGTGTGGAGAAGGTCAGGCTGCGGCAGGAGGGCAGGTTGGCTGTGAGGTGAGCAGGTTTTTATCTTCTAAAAATAGGGTGGAAAAGAGCATCACTTTTTCAAGATACACATTTCTGATACAGAAGTGCATTTGGCTGTAACAGCTGTGTAATTTAGGAGACAGTTTAAAATACGAAGCTTTATAAAGAATGTCCAAGCAGGCACACACGTTCTGTTCAGCTCTCATTTGGTCTCTGAGCCTTTCAGACATGTTATTTTCAAGGTTTCTTTGTGAGCTGAAGGGGAAGAAAGTCATCTTTGCGCCAGCACTGAGATTTTTATGCGTTTCTGCAACTCCATGAGCTGGGGCTCTAAAAAGAGCACGTTGTGTCGGGAGGCTTGGGGCACCCTCTCCTCAAGTGCTTTGTGCTCACTGGGACAGTAACACCAGTCGGGCCGGCTTTCTTACGGTTTTCTTTTGCTTGTCCCTGTCCTGAGCGCAGCGTCTGTTGTTTGGGAGCGTTTCACTGCCCAGCAGCCGCCAGGAGCCAGCAGGCTCTTTCCATTGAGCGCTGCCCGAGAGGCGTTTCCAGGGCTGGGGGCTGGCTGGCTCGCTCGCTTTGCCGAGATCCCGGCATTGCTCGTGTGCTGCGTTTGAAAATCCTCCCTCTGTCCCGTTGTTGCTCTGCCCGGCGTGAGCCCCTCGGTGGTGCCAACGCGATGCCAGCCAGAGCAGGCGTGCCAAGGCCAGGGCCAAGGCCTCACTGCCGCTGCGGGGCTGCGCTCCTGCCGTGCGGGGGCTGACGGCTCCTCCGGTGCTCCACCCCCATGGCTAGAAAGTACCAGACATGCTGGGTGTCTGGATGGGGTACTGCCCCCCCCAAGGGTTTACAGAGTATAGATTAGATGGATTGGTTCTGGACTGGGACCCCCCGCCGCCGGGTAGTGCCAGCCCCCTCCCGGCAGACTCGAGCCCAGGCTGGCTCCGCTCCGCGTGATGAGAAGAACCAGACCCCACGAGTGTTTTCCTCACGTGGGCTGTGACGCGGGTCCTGCAGCTCGTGACAGCCAGAGCGTCTGCAGGGCTGACCTCGGCAGCGCCTCTACTTGAGCTGGCCCCAAAAGGCTGGGCTTCGGGGGGCCTGCCAAGGATGCGCCGCCAGGTGAGTGGCTTAGCCAGGCCTGGGCTTTGCCGATTACCTGCCTGTAATTATAACCCGGCCCTCGGGACCGTGCAGGGTGCCTGTTGCTGAGCCACGCGAGCGCTCAGGAACTCTGCGCTCACCTGCAATTGCTGGTGTCTGCCCAGCCCCGTGCCCCGAGCGAGGTGCGGGTTGGCCCCCGTGCAGCGGGTGCCTCTTGGCTCGAGGTGGAAACCCGAGTGGAAGCAGCGGCAGAAGCTGCCTGCAGTTGTGCTGGAAACAACAGCGATCGCGCACGGGCAGCGGTTAATGTCTGGGCACTGGATCTTCTGGGCTGAGGTGGCGTCTCTGGTGTCCCCCAGGAGCTGGCCGAAGCACAGCAAATAGCAGGGAGCCCCTCACGGGAGGTGCAGCAGCGGGAGATGTGTACGCGAGGTTCTGCTCCCCACCCTGCCAAGGCACCTGCTTTCCCCCTTTGCTGCCTCATGGGTTTGTGTGCATGGCAGGCTTGTTGCGGGAGGCAGGCTCTGGAGTGTGCCGTACTGTTTTCACAGCCCAGCCCCATAAATTGGATGTGTTCGTTTAAGAAGTTTGTTGGCCAGGGAGTGTGCTGGAGGCAGCGTGCACAGCTCTTGGGGGAGCTGCGCTCCAGCTGGAAATGGAAACTGCAACTCTGCTGAACTGGAGCTTTTCCGCTTCCCATAGGGAAGGCAGGGCAGAGGGTCCCGCTAAAGGCCTTGGCTGCTGGGCCGGGAGCTGTGTGCCGGCAGGCTCCTCGCAGCCGGTCCTGCTCGCCCTTCGTGCAGGGCAACTGCGGGGATGCAGCCCAAGGCCTTTTTGGGAGGCGGGTACCAAGGGCCGTGCTATAGCACCGGCCTTCAGAAAAGGGAGCAAGTGGTTGCGAGATGGGGCAGTGGGCTTTGCGCCCCGTTAACGCTTGTTGCTTTGATGGTAGGTTTTCGCTCACTTGTGTTGCTGGCACTGGGATTGTTCCTGCTCCCCCACACAGGGTGAAAGGCGATGCTGACGGTCACACAAGAAGCCAGTGTGCTGTACAGCAAAGCCCCTGTCCCTTGGGAGTAGTGTGTAAGGCTCGGCTGCAGCCCGGTTGGTTGAACAGCGGTTTGGTGATGAGGATTTGGACTTTCTGCGGACAGCAGAGCTGCAGCTCGGGCACGAGCAGAGCTGTGACCCTGGTGTGTACTCCTCTTCCCCACTCACAGCACAGTCCTCCTTAATGGCATCTCCGCAGACGGAGGAATTCTTCGATCTCATCGCCAGCTCCCAGAGCAGACGGCTGGATGACCAGCGTGCCAACGTGGGCAACCTGCCAGGCCTCCGGATAACACACAACAACCTGGGGCACCTGCGTGTGGAGGGGGATGCCCAGGAGCCCGGGGATGAGTTCTTCAACATGCTCATGAAGTGTCAGGTACCGGCAGGGCTGAATCGGCTGCGCGGGCGGGGGCACTAGTTTCTCCCACACAGGCAAACGCCATCCCCTGATCCCACCTGCCCAGCTGGGAGGGGCTGTGGCCAGCAGCTGCCCACCTGCAGCCCTGGGCACCCAGGCAGGTACTTGTCTTTGCCTCCAGGTCCTTCTTTTGACCCTGTACTGAGGGCTGCGCTTTGTCACCGCTCTACAAGCGAGAGGGTGACTGGAGAGCCCACCTTCCACGCAGTGCCTACAGCCCTGGGCTGGGTCACTGCTCTTCCCTTGCGCTGGAGCCCGCAGTGGGGTGCAGCACTGCTGGCCCCGCTGCCCTGTGCCCCCGGATAGGGAGCGCGTGCTCTGGATGCCTCTTGGGCGCTGCTCCCAGCCCTTTAAAGGACTGTCTTGTCAGTACTTGGTCCTAAAGCCTGTTCTCCTCCCCGTGCAGTCCTCCAGGATAGACGACCAGCGCTGTGCACCACCAGACTCCATCCCCCGTGGCCCCACCATGCCGGACGAAGATTTCTTCAGCCTCATCCAGCGCGTCCAGGCCAAACGCATGGACGAGCAGCGGGTAGATCTGGCCTCAGCCCAGGAGGAGGCCGGAGAGGAGCAGCAGAGGCCTGGTTCCAGCTAAGAACTGGGGTTTGGTTTGGGGGGGTTGTTTTGGTTTAATTTTGGGTTTTTTTAAAAGAAAAAAAGTGTAGGTGGTTTCAAACCCGAGCGCTCCTGCGCTACCACAGACTTTTCCCAGGAGCTGCCCCAGGGACGCGGGGAGCCGCACCTCCGTCGCACCTGGCTGCTCTGCGGAGGCAGTGTTACAGGAAGGCCCACCAGATGGGGGGACGGTTTTTAAACAAGGGGGTTTTTTTAGGGGACACAGCCACTGTAACACCGGGCACAGCATGAGGGAAGAAGACTTTGGCAGCCCCTTTGCTTATCACCTAAAAATCCAAGAACTTCTGCCGTCAGCCAAAGGAGGAGCCCAGAGTGGGTAGTTAACTCCAGCCTTGATGTCTTTTATTGCCACAACACTTTTAATTTAACGGGGGAAGGGAAGAGCACCTTCTCCATTTTGAAGTCCTCCTGTCTTGCCCGCGTCACGAGGTGACACAGATTGCTCTGGATCCTTCCCTGGAACATCTTGCTCAGCTTTGTTCTTTCTACAGGAGGAATTGAGCCCAAGTCAGGCTACACCGGTCCTTGTGAACCTCATCCCCGCCCCAGCCGCAGTCATGGTCCCAACCTTGAAGTTTATTTTAGGTTTGCTGAGGACTCTGCCGTGAGCCCCGTGACACCCCCTCTGCTTCCCCAGCCGCAGTCCTGTGCAGAGCTGTACCGGCACCTCCCGAGCAGGAGCAAAGCCTTGCTCGCCCTGAGCTTTAGTGGGATTTGGTTACCTCTAGAGGACAGCTGTGCAGCCCGAACTGCAGGCCCAAGGCAGGGGCCTGTGCCTGGGAAGGGAAGAAGGAAGCCTCTGCCCATCTGTTCAGCACAAGGCAAACTTGGGCAGCTCATCACTTCTGGTGCCGCTGAGCCCGAAGTCTCGTGCAGGACTGTCCTGTGTGCAGGTGAGTGTGCCCGAGGCAGAAGCCTGCATTTGGCAATGACCTGCTTCGAGAGCCGGCAAAGTCTTCTGGCCACGGCTTGTCAGGAGAGCAAGCAGAACCATGCCCTCCTCCCTTCTGTGTCCAACAGCAGTCGGGGATAACAACCCTTCCCTCCCCTTGTTTCTCCCAAAACCAGTGCTGAGCTTCTCCCTGTCCCTGCAGGCCCCCGCAGAGCTGCCCTCGGCAAAGCACTCCCGTTTTGCCCGATACGTCTCCAATAAATGGAGCCTCACGAGAGCTCCGCTGGGGCGTTGGCTGGGAAGTCAGTTCCACCCCACACGCAAGTGCAAGGGTCTGCATTTACTTTCATTCCTTCCCCTTTTGCAACAGTTGGAAAAGCCAGGCCAGGGAGGAGGGGAGCAGGGATCTCGCTTCAGGAGGTGGAGTATTTTTTCTTTGCTTGACCAGATAGGCTATCTTGGACTTCAGAAACTCCACAATGAGTTCTGCCAAAGCAGATATGTTCCTATAGAGAACAAATCAGCACTTTCTATTTGAAATGCATTTGATGGAAACATTTCCAACCAGCAGTAAGATTTTTAGACCAGTGATGCTGCTCATCGGGCATTTAACCTGCCTGCACTGACGACGTGGAGGGGTAGCTGCATTTTACCCGCTACCAGGGAGCGCTCACCTGCTGCACGGACTGCTTGGCCGAGGCTCGGCCTCCTCCCGGTCAGAGCTCTGGAGGAGGGATGGGAGGACCTGCCCAGCCACCTACGTACCGACCCGGCTTGCGTTTGTAAAGAGGAGGAGAACATTGAAGATGAAGATGACTTGACCAGCTGCAGGCTCGGGCCTGTGCAGCTCTCAGCCAGGTGGTGAACTGGAATCTGACCCTTCAGCTTTCAGAGGTGTTAATTATTTGCCATATACTTGAATGTATGAGCTTATTTATTTTTTACATGTGCATTTGCTAATGTCATTTTAATGGGGAATTTCCAACCCACAGGTACTTGTTTTTCTAAAAAATAATCTGCCAAATGAATTAATATATTACAAGTGAGTACAGCTCAAGGGGAAGGTGGGGGGTGTGCTTAATAAATATTTGTGTCTAAGCTTCATTGACAAAAGTTCATTTCCATTATTTCGTGGCCAGCCTGCCTGCTTTGCCGACAGCAGAGCTAATGCTGGCCTTGGGAATGGGGGTGGGGGTGGGTGGTGGTATGTAGTGCCAGACACCACCACGTGTAAGTGTTAAGAAAAGGGTGTATGCACCCACCTACACCTTCCTTCACATTAAGAACACACAGGTCTCCTAAGCAGCAGCCACTATTCCCAGCTCTGCCTGCCTTAACCGCACAGCATCTATCTGACTGCATGGCTGTGGAGGAGACGCAAAGCCCCGAGCATTCCCTGCCCCCAGCAACGGCCAAGCCCAGACATTACCAGGACGACAGGGCAGACAAACAGCCCTGCAGCGGCCGAGAAAAGACCGGCTTTTCTCAGTCAGCTTGAGCCCTCCTCTAGGAACGTGGCCGAGCCTTTCCTTTCAGGCCCTGCCTGTCTCGGTCGGTGCCTGGCCCAAAAGCTCTGTCTTGTTTCCCTGGCAGCAGGGGAAATTACCAGAGGAAAAGGGCAGCGAGTGCTGCGCAGAGCCCTGGCATCAACCCTTAGTGAAGATACTCACAAAGCAGCGGGCAGCAGTGCTAGCTCATTCCAACGCAGCAGGCGTGAGCAGGCCATTAGACTTCGCTAGAAAGTGGGCCTGAGCGCAGCAGATTTTGGATCCTGAGCCCTGTGATGATAAAGCCAAGTCACAACTGGTCTTCCCATGCCTGGCTAACTTGTGTTGGCTGCTGCCAGTCCTGATCAAAGATTAATGAAGAGCCACCAGCTCGTTCTCACCAGGCATTCTCATGCCTCTCGGTGCCTGGACACAAGCAGCTCTGTGCTAGAAGTCTCTGTGTGTGACCTGGGGACAGAAGCATGCCCCCAGGTACACAAAGGATAGCAGCTTAGATTCCCAGTAATAGGTGAAATCCCTGTGAGTGAGTGATGGGGTCTCACCTGCAGTCTCTCTCTCTCTCCGTAGCAGCTGGGGAAGGGAGCACCTGCTCTCCAGTAAGTGTTCTCTCTCTCTCAGAGCACCTACGAAACAGAAAGATAGCCCCTGTGAGCAGGAGGCAATGCCTACAACTGAATTGCCAGAGCAGCTCCCAGCCTTCAATGGTTGCTGCTCTCCTGTACCCTGCGGTAGCAGAGGCAGCAGTGCGCCAGTGTCCCAACGCCAGCCCTTCCCTCTCCCGCTCTGCCAAGCCGCCCAGGCCAGCAGAGCTCGGTCCCACGTAGGGAACAGCTCTCCGATGCTGACACCCGCCGGATAGATGCGGGATTGCCGGGGCCTGTGCAGCGCCAACGCGGACTGACTCGCTGTTGGGCTTTGTATCGCGACGGCAGCTGTGAACTGCGAGTTAACTACAGTGCAGGGTGCTGTCCCCGGTGCAGGTCTGGAGCTGAAGAGGACCTCTAAAAAAACAGTAGAAACACAAGATACTGGATACTGAGCTCCCCTACTCAGCTGTACACATGCCCTGAGAGGCACTTGCGAGACAGGGCTGATGTCAGGCCTGTGGGGATTTTTGTATTGCTCATCGGCCAAGTCATGTCAGGGCTGAGCCTGCGCACTTCCCTCACGCCTCCCCGGTGCTGTTACTGCTCCAGCCATCGTTGATCTTCACCTGGCTGGAAAGGCTCTCAGCCTGCAGGAAGGGATACGCTGGCCCAGAGCACCCAGGCACTGTAAATTTCAGTCTGGAGTTGGACAGCTTTCGGCAGCTCTCCATAGCAATCTCCTGGGATCCCGCTAAGCCAGGATACAGCCATGGGCTAAGTTAACTCCTGCACGGCTTTGCAGTAAGGCAGGGCCATCCCTGCACTGAATATCCTAGCCCAGGGACACAGCGTAGACACTTGCACGCAGGGTTTTGAGCGGAGGGCTCGCTTAACCTCGCTGTGCCTCTCTGCCTGCACTACAGTAGGACCCGGAGGCCCAGAACCCACCTATGTTAGACCCTGTGCAAGCAGCACAAATAAGCGGTGATTCATTTCGCAGCCCCCAGCACCCCTCCTTACTGCCTGCACTGATGCTACAGGAAAAGAAACATACCTGCCCAGTCGCCACTTAAGTGAGGCAGGCAAATCCCCTGGAGAGGCGCCCAGCTGGCTCCTCGGTACAGCTGAGCCCTCCACAGCACACCCAAGCGCGGCAGGGTTTAGAACTGCCCTCTCTGCGTAAGGCAGCAGGAGGCACAGTTCCCACGCAGCACACACAACACATTCGTGCACGCTGGTAGCAAAAAGCAGCAGGGGATTATTATGTCAGGTAGCCCCAGCAAACGAGCCTCTGCACCCCCAGCCTCCCTCTTGTTTGGGCCTGTGCAAAGGCCTTCCCTCAGCAAGTCCCGTCACCACTCGCTTCCCAGCCCCGCAGGGCCCCCATCTCAACCACCTTTACCAAACGCCCCTG